CATAGTAAGGAAATATTGCACCAAAACAAGACCGAAACCATCTGGGCAAACTCCAAACTCTGCATCTCTTTGTCTGATGTCAGAATGCTCTTTAGGTCTCCAATGCTGTTCAGCTTTGTTGACTGCAACTCACGGAAATTTTAATAATGTTAGTCAACACATATTTTTGGAGACTAGAAGATGTAAATTTCATTTCACTTATGTATATGAAAACTATTTCACCCTCTCTTTCTAGTCATTGTTTTTGGCAAAGAAATCTGTGTCACTAATAGGTTATAATTAATGTTTTGAATATTTTGGAAGTAAAAACTGAAAATGCTGATTTATCAATAAAATACAAAATAATAATATTAATGTAAACCTTGTTTATAACTATATAAAAAGAAAAGTATAGGAATTAGAAAAAGCATGACAAACTATTAGTAAATAGAAGTATAAAAACGGCTGGGTGGTAATGGCACACACCTTTAATCCTAGCACATGAGAGGCAGAGCCAGGTGGATCTCTGTGAGTTCGAGGCCAGCCTGGTCTACAGAGTGAGATCCAGGACAGGCTCCAAAACTACACGGAGAAACCCTGTCTTGAAAAACCAAAAAGAAAAAGTGAGGAAGAAATATATTATGCTTTTCACATAATATATGATTTATTTTAAGTATAATCTTTATGATTAATAAAACTTTAGGGAGAGTACCACACAACTTGCATTGCCAGGTGATTCAATCCAGGTGTCACCTGAATACATTATTTTTCAAGTTTGGGTTATACAACTGATATGAAACTGACCTGCCACTCATGGGCTCCCAAGTGATCTATAGCACTCCTTGAAAGAAACTAAGAGAAAAGCAGTAGAAGGACAATGCTGAGAGCTTTGAGTAGTATCTTTCATTGGTGTCTTATACAAACATTCTACTGAAGCAAAGCTTAGGTATCAGACCATATTTAACTTAAAAAGAAATGAACTGGCACTCCTCTTTAGTGTCAACTACTTCAATGACCCCCCCCCCAATAATATCCTCCAAAGGTTCCACTGCTAGCTTCTGTCACAAACTCCAGGCAATAATATTAATAGAAATCCATATGTAGCATACTAAGATTGTCTCTTTCCTGTAGTACCTAGCTCTTCTGCTTGTCTCTAACTTGGCAGAGCTATCAGTCTTAGTTGCAAAAGATGCTGGGGGAGGTCTTTCTGTATGCTGTCAATATATGTTGTTCCCACTGATTAATAAATAAGCTGCTTCTGGCCTATGGCAAGGCAGCTTACAGGCAGGTGAGAAATCCAAGGAGAGAGAGGGGAAAGAGAAAAGCAGAGGTGAGAGATGTAGCCCACTGTCCAAAGAGCAACAAGATGCCAGCAGACTGGTAATACCACAGCCATGTGGCAAAACATATAGATTAATAGAAATGGGTTGAGTTAAGTTGTAAAAGCTAGCTAGCAAGAAGTCTGACCCATAGGCCATACAGTTTGCAAGTAATATAAGCCTCTGTGTTTACTTGGGTCCTACCGGCTGTGGGACCAGGTGGGACACAGGAAAACTTTCAACTACAAAAGGATATTTAAATTCTGTTCCCCCTTTGCTGGAATCCTTGTTCCTTGTTCTGGTCTTGTTTGTTTGTTCTTGGCTTTGGTTTCTAGTTTTGATTAGACACACACTTCTACACACACACATGCACAGCACAACAGAAATTAAATCAAGGGCTTTGCTTGCTAGGCATTCATTTAATGAGACACACCCACAACACTCTGCACTAGGAATTGAATCCAGGACCTAGTTTGTGTTAGACAAGCACTCTGCCAATGAGATGTATCCTGCAGTCTTCTGTCAGTTCTTTCTAACCTTGCATGTGTGTCCTTTCATCTCACTTTTCAATGCCTTCCCTTAGTTATTCTCTTTTCTTTGTCTCCTGATTCTCTCTCAAGAGTTGAGCCACTTGGTAAATCCACCAAAGGTTTTCTGTAATGTAATTTTGGTCATGTGATTGCTCTTATACCGTCTACCACACAGGATTCCAATTATTCCCCTCATCCACATTTCCTCTATAAGAGTGATGAGATACTGGTGTTTGGATTAATATGAATATATGCAGATTTCATGATGGTGAAACATGTGAGCTCTTTGCTCCAAAGCCTGGTTTTTGTAGCAGCAGTGAGGAGATTCAAGAATTGGTGTTTGGGGCATAGACACTGAAAACATAGACAAAAATACATTTATATCACTGAATGTGATTCTGAAAGACAAACAGAGATAACAAGTGTCAATATTCACTGTGGGATACTGTACCAAATGAGGATTAGGGGGAAGAGGTTCGTCCTAGGACATCCATAAGGTTGTGGAAAGCAGGAAAGTTTGTGAAAACCTTTCCTTTGTAGTGAACTGACATATAATTTACCCTAATGTGACAGCAGAGATCCAGTTAATAATATGGCCTAGGAATCCATACAGCTTTACTTTTTTAAGTTGCCTGACAGCTGTTAAACCACATTTTAAAACAGAAATTTTGAAGTAGCTTTTTTTTTAATCTTTTTACTACAACTCTCAAAAAGAAATATCTTCAGAAACTGCTTTCTTTTCTTTTTTCCTAGAAAAAATCCTTCATTTTTATTTCTTTTCTCTGAGCAGAGGAAGTACATTAATGCAGCTACTAACAGTTATTTTCCTGGCACTTATAATCAAGCAGCTTTACCAAGAGGAGCCATCCAGCTTTGTAACATGTCATGAAATGGGAAATAAATAGTGATCTCAAAAAATACACACAGGCTGCTTTATGTTTGGCTCTGAAAAACACAAGATTCACAGTGGTGTTCTAATGCAGAGTTCTTATCACCATACTTTACTATAGTATCGTGGGATACAATTGTTAGGTGTGTATGCTTTTCAACATCTTAGGCATTTTAATAAAAAGCAAAGCTTTTTCCAGTTGCACTCTATTTCAAGGAATTGAAATGGTTATTGTTCCCTTTTGTCACAGTTAAAAATCAGTGTTGGGAATTAAATTATAATTTGAGGAAAAAATAT